AGGGAGCATAAATTATATTTATATACAATAAATTATTTATACATTGTATTATACTATATATTATATTATTATGTGTTATGTTTATTCGTTATATAAGTTATTTATGAAGCAGCAAACTCTATGGTACAGTAAACATTCTTTTTTTTATAAAAATATTGTTCAACAAAGCTTTGATTACTTGCACGTCCATAGAATTAGATTTATTCGCTAAAGTATCCGGATACTCAATGGAAATTTGATACTTTAAACTTTGCAAAAGAAAGCGTACGATGATCCATCTGGCCATCGTTTCAATTTTGAAAATCCTGAGTTTCAAAGATGTTTGAACATCGTATAACAAGTGAGAAAAAGTGAAGATACTTCTTTTCAAAAAAATTGTAAAACTTCATTCAATTCAAACGCCTGTGAAATATGCTGGAAAACTTTTCTCATAATTGAAATTGCCACGATCTCGAAGATTGAAGTTTTACGACCTCTTAAAACTTTTCGAACGATCTTTCCTCGTTATTTTATAGAACTTTGAATATTAGTGTCACGTGTTGAAAATTCGAGGAACGCGAAATGCTGAGATTTCTCAAATTTTTATCCTAACGTGGAAAGTCCAATAAAATAGCGAGGAAAGATCGTAAAGAAGAGATTTCAATTTTTAAGACCGCGGTGGCTTCACTTAGAAAGAAAATTTTTTTCAATGCTTTCACAGATGCTCGAATTTTTACAACATATTTGAAAATGTCGTAAACAGAGTGTTTGAAACAATTGTTTGACTGTGTCATTTGATACATTTCAAAGTTCTCAGCGTGATATTTTAATCGAATTCATACGCGTGCAAGACGCGCGTGTCGGATTCCTGAATGAACGAGTTGATTTTTTACTGAATTAGAATCTCTTGTGCAAACTCGAACCGCATACCTAACGAATGAAAAAGCACAGGATGCATAATCGAGGAAGGTCTTGCATAGATAATCGGATACTATTGGACTATTTCTAGCTACGAGCGTAATCTGCGAAAATTATTGTGCACTGGTGTTAATTAAATCTAGGTATCGCACTTGAATCGTAATATTACGTACCAACAATCTAGAAGCTTCTGATAGTGATTGAAACTACTAAATTTGTTTCAATTGAATTATTTCTTTAATAGCAATAATTACGAATTATTAACAAAGAATTGGTTTTGAAGAATTGTTAAGGCAGGAAAGAGTTTAAACAGGGAGAAGGAATATCGAAAATTTCTCTCAAAGGAAACGAGAAACGCACGGTGAAGGCTCGTCAATGAAGATTCGAGTAGCATGTGACATACAGTAATCGACGAGCCGAGTGATTGTGAGCCGACTGTGCATTCGTGACCCTGCACTAAGCGCGTGTCACAACGTTGGGAACGGAGACGAGACAGGAAAGTGATGGCCCATGAATAAATATCTTCCTACTGTCAGTCGGGGAAACGTGTTCGTAAAAGCAAAATGATCCTCGCGAGTCAAATGGAGGAAAATTTAATTTAGAAATTAGCTACGTTATAGCCGAAGGTAACCATTCACTTGTCACCAAAGGAATAAAAATATAAATTTGCCCATAACACATGCTGGAAATTATCACGAAACTATCGTACAGTGTAAATCATAAATTTCTCTAGAAAAATATTTACGATCTTGCGGAAATTTTTTACGCAAGCAAATTATCCTAATGAGATATATTTGAAGAATTAGAAATTATAATTTGAGATCCACAACGCTTACGTTGGCTATAAAAATCTTATAGACACTTGTGTAAGCTACGACCAGTTTGTGTTTGATGACAAAGAGCAAGACGGCAGTGTTTTGCAAGTGAAATTTTTTTCAGGAAGCTACGAAGAATTTATAATTTATACGCGATTCTTGCACGTGCCTGTAACAAAGATATTTCAATCTTAATGTCATTGTAAATAATCAAAATGTTTATGCAACCTTGTTACTTAAACTTAAATTTAAAGAAATTAAAAATTTCTCTGAAATTTAAAAGAATGGAAAACTACTCGAAATTTAAGTTTGTAAACTTGAAAATCGTTCATTCTAAAAGAAAAACAAAATAAATTTCAGTTCTGATAACTCATGACAAATTCGAAATTTCCAAATCCTGCACGCAAATAAATCTTCAACTATAATATCAAAAGATCACTTCCTTGAAAGATTCTTGCACAAAGGAAATTTATACGTATCGTCCAACGTTCAGAGAGTCAACTCCAACGCATTCTACGAAACGACACTGTACAATAACTCTAAAACACCCTGAAGAACACGCGTCTTTTAAATACAACGGGCGATCCTCATCAACGACGTGGGCGCGACGTGATGGATTTCGACTCTCGTGACAAATGAGCGATCTTTAACCGCGGGAACGTCGTCACGAACGAAATACAACCAACGAAAATCGGATCAAGGATGGTACCGTCCGTTTCCTTGACTTTCGACGTGCAACTCGGTCTAAGAATACGAGTCGCCTCGCAACATTTAACGAGTGGAATGCGTTTCGCGCAACACGGTACTTCCTAGACGGACAAGCTGGGTCTCGGCTCGCCGAGAAGTGGAGAAAAATCAGCGTCCGGTAGAATCAAACAGTGTAATTTACGACGCACGAGAGCCGTTAAATAAAAGAACATCTTGTTTGCTCGACAATGACATTTTGCTTACGATCGATAAAAACGAGTGACGTCTTGATTCTTGAACGACTGCGACAACGTGATTTGCGTTTGTATAGCAATGCATCTATTTCTCAAGAAATATTGATTGAGCCGCAAGTAAAGAAACGTTAGACTTACGAGTGATTAGCCCCTTGCGCTGGCAACTGTTTCGCGGACCATAACGAGTGACCGAACCGTATACAATAATTCGTCGCTTTCTTCTTCTTTTCAACTCGTCGGTATGACATCGCTGGATAGAAATTATTCAGAAGTAACAAACTCATTATTTATTTCGCCCGGGTTACATTTAAATATAATACTTAAAACTGAGAAAATGTGTTTGCAATTTGCGGCAAAAAATTCTCCGTGTGCGTCATTCCAACGCATTGAGATTAATTGCACGTTGAAGAAGGCGATCGAAGCTTGGTTTCCTAGAAGCTTCGGACGACTGAGAGTCGCTTTCAAATTGTATAATAAGTGAAATAGCTACAGTCGCGCGTTCAGTCGGCCAATTAAATTATTTTAATTACTCTTAATCCTTTAATAACACACGGCGCGAAAGATGTCGAAACTGAGAAAGGACACGTTTCTTCCTACGGTCGGCTCTCGACCCGTTTCCATATTTATTAAAAACTGCATTAAAACGGTAGCTTAAAGTTTGATTGACAAGGTACATGATTTACGTATCTTTTATGATAATCGACGAAGGAGTGGTAGAGTCGTACAAGGCATTAAATAACTACGTTCAATCGGGCCTCAATTCTTTCACCGCGACGCGCCGCTTTTACAAACACTCGTAAATCGATTGCCTCTTTTATATTCTAGCCGAAAGAATACCTGCGGAGGAACGTTCGGTTCGGTTTTATTCGATTCGTTTTACGCGCGACGAGCCGGGACCGTCCCTGACTCATTCTACTTTGTTATTTCGGATTTATCTGCTGTTTCGCGTGAAACCGAGCCCGGTCCCCGCCGATATACGTCCCGCGATCATCACTTTATTCGTCATAGTTCCTTAATGGACACGAAAAAGAAGGAACCGGTTCCGAACGACGGGCCAAGCGACGATATATTCGTTCGTTAATTCTGAAATACAACCGTTCGTTAAACACGACTGTTTACCTTTCCAGGGGCAACGAGGCCTCGTTAGGCCGCGTAAACGATAATAATAACGCCGATTAAAGTAACGACGAACGCCAGCGACGATTCATTAGCAACTAGACGCGGAAAGCATTGCTGAATTTACGAAACGTCGGCCGGCCGATTTGCTGAGCGAAGCTATTCCCTGCCTGCTTGAAAATGCAACGAATCGTTCGTCTCGCATTCAGACTCGGTATTCGAAATTACCCGCTATTAGTATAGTCGTAAGAGGCTGCACCGCTGCACTTTACGACGCTCTAAGTTTTCCTTTTTCTCTCGGAGGCGGGTTATTCGAGATCGTGTAAATTTTATTTCAAAGCCGAACCGTTGGTACCTCGGTTGCTTGAATAATGATTATAAAGTATCGAACGATCTCGTGGAAGTTTCTTTCGCAACTCTACATACTAAAATATGGAGCTTGGTAACGGTGAACTGATTGAAAAGAATTGCAAACGAAGCAGTCCATTTTCCAACTTATTGAAAAACTATCTTCCTCTATATACGAGTCTATAAAACGAGTCAAATTGTCTTTTCTTTTTTAACTTGCACTCAGAGTGACTTCTCCTCTGTATTTTCTTACCAATGCTCACCAGTTCTTGGCGACAAACAAAAATGGCTCGAGGGAGAGAGGAGAAGTAGAGGGAAGGAAATCGCTCTCCCCGAGAAATGAATTTACGAGGTGGCAGCGGATCTGTTTTAAGCATAGTGGAGGCTTTCGAGCAGGCTCGAAAGAAAGTCACCTCTCGGAGAAACTGCTCGCTCTCTCGTGGCTGGCTGGTGTCTGCAAGAAATACACCGACACGCTTTCGACGAATTTTAGTGACACGCACGGATCTTTATGCTCTGAAAAGGGAGTCGCTCTTATCATCGCGACACGGAGGAGACACCGTTTTTTATTGGCAAGCTCTTGGTAAGCTCTGGCCACGAGAACGAGAGACGACTCTTTCGGGCTACTCGAGCCGGCCAAAAGAAGCGACGAAAATAAAAAAAGATAAAAAAAAAAAGAGGACGAAGATGGAGGAAAGGTCGAAGCAAAAAAAAAAAAAAAGAAAAAAAGCTTTACAGCATGTGCTGAGAACATGAATCGGAGCCACGAAACGCCCAGATATCCTGTAATTTGTCTTTCAACGGATCACTTTCGACGTCCGACTTCGCTCAACGTTGAAATTATTACATTCATTGGCAATCGAAAATCTAAAAGTTAGCCACTGACGTTTGCTCTTCGTGATTCGTTTCTCCATTCGAAATTAATCGTCACTGATATTGGTCGAGAAATGTAACAAGATACTCAGTTGCGAATACATGAATAAGTCTGATGATCGTTAGGAAAAACAGATTTATAAAAAAAAATTTAGGAAAAAGATCTGAAAGAATTTTCATTTTCAATGCAAATTTCCTTGCAATCAATTTGAAATCAAGTTGACGTGTCTTTTCAATTTGACGTTTACCATTCTCAATAAACGAGAATGAATGAGTCGAAAGGAAGTGTTCGGGCAAGAATGTGACGATTTACTATTGAGGCCCAGTCCATATTCGTCGAAATTAAAACATCCGGCTGAATGATTTACTCCTTAATTTCAAAAGCGTACGAACGAGCGTACGAAAGTACCATAAAAATCGATGACGTATCGCTCGAACTGGCGAGTCCATTTCAAAGGCACCGCCTTCGCACTTACACCCTCTCTTTCTCGTTCGGTTTTGTACACGCGCGAGCCGTGGTCGAAAAACACGGCTGCACATTAATTTAATTTACGAGTTTGGCATTGAAGTTTCGAGATTTGGATATTGGAACTGGCCCAGAAACCGTTTCAAGCATGCGTTAAATCATTGGTCAACCGTTCGTAACCTTACCGTCAGAGATATCAATAGAGAGAACAGGGAAGCTCGATCCATCTTGGAGAACATTCTTCTTCCGGTTCACGTTCGTCGTGTCATCTTCCGTGATCTTTCGTTAGTTTTCCTCGCTACCAGTTTCGAAACGGTCCCGCGAACAATTCTTGGTCATTTCACCGGCACACCGGTCGTTTTGCATCACGTTTCGCGATATATTTCAGCCCGATTTCCGTTTTCTCTGCCTCTCTACGTCATAGAAATTACGTTGATCACGTTAATCACTGAAACGCACTTTTCGTTCGTCTCTTGCATCGTCGAACGGTCCATCACGTTCCTTGCATCTTTGAATAAAATTAGATAATGAGTGGTAATTGTTAATATTGTTTTACCATCTTTGTTACGTTGTTGCGTAAAAATTACGCGGACGTAATTAGAGTGGAGACAATTACAGAAATTATGGACACCTGATATTCGTTTTGTAAAAATGAAATTCAAATTGTATATATATTTTTCATATTGAAGGAACAGACGATCTATGTTGTTATGATGATTGTGTGATGAAACTATACTACGAACATTGTAAAACACTTAAGAACAGAGGACAAAGTGACGTGAAAACATTACATTCAGAAGAAAATCGAATATATTCGGAAATCAGACGAAACTTTCGAAATTAAATGTATAAAACTATGGTGAAATCGATTTGGAAATATTAATTTGGAATCATTCTCTTGAATGAAAAATTCGGTGCACAGTGGCCTCTGACTGCAGAATCTTGGAAAAAATCTTTTACTAAAATTAATTGAACATCTCGTTAATGAAATCAGCAAGTTATCTATTTTAATATACCAACGTAATAACGTAAGAAAAAAACTACAAAAAAATGCCCAAAATAACTTAAATTGGTAAATTACGTTCTTCTCAATTATATTTATTTCAATTCTCTACACTTTGAAAATTACATACACTTGAAAACTATATATTTGAAAAAACTAAAGTGTGTTTTCTATCTTATTCCGATATTACGATAATCTGTAAAAACAAAATCTCCAATAATCCTAGTCACAAGCATCATCATCATCATCATCATCTTCAAGATCCTCAATCAAGAATCTCAATATTTTCCTTTATCTTTGTATGCCTCTATACTCCTTCTCACGCCTGTTGGATAACTCTCGCGTCAGCAATTCTCCGCGCAGCTTTTCCACCGATTTACGACCGATTACGCGGATATTATTTATTGTTTCTCGGGTTACCACGTATCCGGAGGAATTTCCCTCGCTGATATCTAAATTGTGATCAACGTGATCGCGCGAGTCCTGGATAGCAGATATGAGGAAATTATTTTACACGGACAGTGAAACGAATCGGCCGTGGAGCGATTGGATGGAAGGAAGCGTGCAACGTTTATGGTCCATAGTTTGCTCGTAATTACATCGGTCGGGCAGATAAATCGGTGACCTTTCTCGATTTTTCGTCACTGCCGTTTTCATTCGGGCTCGAACGGTGAACGAACACTCTCCTCGATGAACGAACGAGACAAGTATCGTTCCCCTTGTAGGAAATTGGTTACTTAAACCGGGTGTTGACAGCAATGATCGATAGGTTTGGCGTGAAATTTTCAACTTGCAGAGTGCTACGTGATTTATTCGCTCGAGTCTTGTTACATAGTTTTCAAGCAAATGATTCGAAGAGTGCTCATTTTGACGGACGTTCCGTTTTGTTTAGTTTGCTTTGAATTAATTTCTTGTTCATCCGTACAGACGAAGTAATTTCGTTATCGAATAATTTCGTCTCGTATCTTAAGATTCTTGAATGAATGATATTTGCAACAGTTTCTAATCCCATCGTAATTGTCACAATTGCACTAAGAATGGCGATTTTTATACAAACTCAAATATATATATATATATATCATCAAAATAGAGATATTGAAAGTAGAACAATTCCAAGAACAAGTGTTGAGTTTATAGTGTATGAAAATTTAAAATTCAAATCAAATCCGAATCGTTCTGTTTGAAAGAGCCAAGCTGGAAAGTTATTTATTTATTTCAAAGACTATGATATTCGAAATAAAAGTAATAAACCAGTACTCATTGATTGGTTCAAATAATTGAATAATTCTTATTAAAACGAACAGAAGAAGAAAAGAAATAATTGCAGTGCTCGTTACGCGAATGTGGTTGATGCGTACTACTAATGTCTGTACATGCATAGTTAAAGTTTCGGGACCGTTTATCGAGAAAACGGAACGACAAAGTATTCCGTTGGAAATCGCCGACTATTTTTAGGACTGTTTTAAGAAAGGCGCCGTTCCTGTTCTTCGTTGTGGAATCGACGTCGTGGAAAAAATATATTCAGACACTCGAACAATATTTTAATGGCGGCGAAGGTGGGTGGAGGATTGGCTACTATTTTTAAACCACGTCCTCGATTTCCGGACGATGCAGCCTGCATTATCAGCGAATTGTTTCCCCCTTGTTCTCTTTCGACTTGACTCAAGTCAATTTTCTTCTCCACGAACTTTTGTGTTGCCAGAAGAAATAAACTTGGGAAGGAAGAAAGGAACAAAGTGGAAAATAAATGAAACGTTTCAGAAATTTTAAGCTTGTGAGGTTTGTAAAAATCGTAGAAAGCTGCGCGAGAGATTTACAGGGGAACAAAGTACGAAATACAGGTTTTAAAATAGAGACTTCAAAAGAAATCCATTAACTTTCCAAAACCTACTTAAAAAATGTATGCTTTATCTCGAGTTGTGTTCTACCTCCGTCGTTTCACAATATTTCATTCGTTAACATGTTAGCCTCTTTTCAAAAGTAATTAAATCAGAAGGAGGACATTATCGCAATTATTACCACAATAGTTATTCTAAATATTCTGTACTGTCAGAATGAAAAAGATATACGTAATTTAACTCACGAGAGAGCCATACAATTTCAAGTGTTACAACAATAATATTTAATAAAATGTTTGTGAAAAACTGAAAACAAATGGAATATAATTAATTCATTATGTACGAAATAAATAAAAATCTATAAGTCCACCGATGTTATTACATATTCTTCTCTCAGTAACACCGTCTACTACTCGAAAACACGATTTCGTCAAACGAAAAAATTTCCTTGAAACCGATTCAAAGCTACACCGGCGACCCATAAATAACGATCGGCTTCACCGATGTGGCTCCGAAAGGACTCCGACTCGACGCACGATCAAGATACATATTTTGCATCGTGAGAAACGAGTTATGATGCGACACGAAGGAAATTGGATATTAGAGGAGCCGTCGAGCCCGTGTACGTACACGCACGCACATAATGCCTTCATGCTCCAGTTGTTAGTGAGCGTTAGACGGGAATCGATATTAGTCGTGCGTCGACCTGTCGAACGTAATCGTTCTCCTACGTAGAATTATCCGCTGAAAGCGCGCCGCGCGTGGAAAACGATTTTTCTACCGGCCGGGACATTCCATCGGCCTATTTCCTTCTCAATTACACATACTGTCGCTCATAAGTATCCGAACACTTTTGGTCAATCTGTAATAACAGCGTTTATGCGAATTTTATCGAAACACTGTGACAATATTGCGAATTTCACCGAACTGTAGAAATTAATAATCGAAAGTGTTATGAAATTGATAAATCAGAACGACACATTTCGCCATTTGCTATGTATTCGAGTATTTGAACAGCTATCGTAGAAGATCTTTAAGAATATACCAAATTATACGTTTCATACTAAATTGTTTGACACTAGTACTGTCGATTTCACAAACAGTTTGAAAAACCTTCATACAACACATATGTATAGTGCAAATATAGAGGTTTGAAGAAATAAAATTTTGACTACTCTCAGATATTTTATGTACGTTCTACGCAGTTTGTGTATTTTTGCATCTTACGCTTTCTTCCACAACTGTCAAAGGTGTTACAATTTCGTAATACGCTTACAAATACATCCTATCGAAAGCGAGCAAGTGTCCAGGTATTTTTGATCGGTAGTGTGTACAACGAACGGTGAAAAGTCGGACGCGGCAACAACGTGGCGGCTAGCGATTTTTCCAGGCTGGCGCCACATGTCGGTGGTTCCAGTAGATCGATCTCAATTACGCCCGGCTTGCATTATCTCCGTTTTAATCTATTGTTTCACCGGCGTGTTTCACCGCCGCGGCATCGACCTGGTGAAATTTATGGACCCGGTCGAGAGCAAAAGGGATTAGTTTATATGTTTATTTTGCGGAATTGAATATGTGAATCGAGCCTGGAATGTGGAACCAAGTGGATAGGCAACGCGCGGAATTTATGAAGCAAGAGATAGGAAATAAGAAGAAGGAATTATTGGATGTAATTACCCACAATCGGTTTAAACTGTCGCGTTTTTTTCTGCCCCCGATTCTTTTCCTCTCTCGACGATTAAATCCTAAGAGAAAAAAGAAAATTGATTTGATCGACTGTGTGAGTTACGATCTCTGACATTCGAGTGAAATACGAGCTCAATCGGTTCAATCGGATACGGAGAAGTTACGAGCTGCTCTATAAATCTACAAATGTAAGACGTTTTCTTTTTTTCTTCGACGAAAAGAATTATGTTTCTTGCATTATACCTTTTCACGTATTTATTTTGAAATGATTGATTCAGCGTGTTGACGCCGAAAGAAAATGCCACGCAATAAAGTGCAAGAAAAATGAAATTTACTTCGAACTAACTAATTCGTCCTGGTACTTTATTCGGTTTTTATAACCAACGTTGAATGATAGACTTATAAAGTATTCTTTAAAAATCTTTGTCGAATGAAAAACATGCTTTATTGAACTTTTGGAGTAATGGAATCGTTCACCGATTAGTGGGTGCGTATTAATTGTCAAACATCGCGCGTTAAGTACGTTTCAAGTAGTCGATAAGTAGCCGAGTTGCGGACGAATACGAATTGTGGGTTATGCGTTCGATAACTGTCTGTGCATATGTCGTTCGAACGAAATGGCGCCACAGAATCACGTTCGTTGCGCAACATTTCAGAAAACGGGCCGTCTATCTATCAAACGATGTTGTAACACGAAAACAAACTGTTCAATTGAACGAAAAGTTTCTGCATTTTCTGTGAAATATCATTACGGCATGCTACAAATTACGATCGTTATTCGTTAATAATTATTTCTATAAATTTTCTATTCATCTTGGTGGCAAACCAAGTTCGAGACATTGCGGTTATCGTAGGACTAGAAAAGCAAAAATTAACGAATTAAACTAGGGCATATTCGCAATATTTGCTGCGAATAAAAGACGGAAAATTAAAAATTTAGACAAAAGTCGACAGTGATTAGTTCTATTTGTAAATGTCTTATAACAGTACCTAATGCAATAAACTCTTATCCCAAATTTCTTTATAATTAGTAACAAACTTTTCCATTAATCTTCTAACAAGATCATTGTATCTCGTAATGTATACAAGATGAAATTGAATTGTTAAAAATTAATTATGTTACAAAGTAGTGCAGTACACATCGTTACGCTATGTCTATTTTTTCACGACCAATGTTTACGGGACCGCGTTAGCTTTATTACAACGAAAACACGCTGGAAAGAATAGCACCATTTCGATGGGCCTAAGTATTTAAGTACTTACGCAAGTGTCGGTATAACGCAGATCACCGTTTATTTTTACGATTATCGACATGCTGGGATCGACATACTATTAATACGCGTTTGTGAAATGGCCGATCGGGAGTAGAACGATTTTCAGCGAAATACTCATGTAATACCGCGTCTTTTTCCTGATATTTAATAGACATTTTTATATTTCCATTGATTTTACAACAAAATTTGTAACGACAGATCACAAGTCGAAAAGGTTTGAATTTTTATTTAAACTTTAAATTGTTTATCTGTCGTTATCGAAATGAGAAAAAGAAATAGAGTAGTTTCTACGAATATCTTATTCTGTTTTGTTCTCTCTTTCGCGTGCTCTGAATTAAAGATACTGTGAAGGTACGTGGTGTATTTCTAAAGAGCTTGATCAATTGATAAAAGGGTCAATGAAATTAAACCGGGATAGAGGGAAGGTGATTATGCAATTACGTTATTAATATGTTGCGCTCAAAGTAGTTGTAACCCCGCTGTGTGAGTTAACGCATCGCGTATGGAAGACGATCATCTCCGTCTTTGTATACCCAAACGTTGTTACTGTACTAAATACCATACTCCAAAGACGTATCGAAGCATTGCAACTGATATTCATGCAGGTTCCATTGCAATGAGATCAAATAACGAGTGAGCTAAGAGATGAATTTTTCAACTAAAATACGCGCGTGAAATTTTTATTGAAAAAGTAAGTTTCCTTTGACGAATAGATATAAATTTAATTGATATATTATTTATAACAATTGATATATTATATTATATAAATTAATATTAGGCTATATCACTGCTAGACCATGGATGCTTGTGTAAATTCGTAAATTTTTACGGATGCAGATAATTAAATGTTTCAGACACTACTATTACTATTACTCTATTACGAATAGATGTAAATTTAATTGATACATTATATTATATAAATTAATATTAGGCTATATCACTGCTAGACCATGGATGCTTGTGTAAATTCGTAAATTTTTACGGATGCAGATAATTAAATGTTTCAGACACTACTATTACTATTACTCTATTACGAATAGATATAAATTCAATTGATATATTATACTATATAAATTAATATTAGGCTATATCACTGCTAGACCATGGATGCTTGTGTAAATTCGTAAATTTTTACGGATGCAGATAATTAAATGTTTCAGACACTACTATTACTATTACTCTATTACGAATAGATGTAAATTTAATTGATACATTATATTATATAAATTAATATTAGGCTATATCACTGCTAGACCATGGATGCTTGTGTAAATTCGTAAATTTTTACGGATGCAGATAATTAAATGTTTCAAACACTACTATAACTATTACTCTATTACGAATAGATATAAATTTAATTGATATATTATATTATATAAATTAATATTAGGCTATATCACTGCTAGAACATGGATGCTTGTGTAAATTCGTAAATTTTTACGGATGCAGATAATTAAATGTTGCAATCACTACTATTACTATTACTCTATTTCCTATACACATTTCTCAATTTATTGATTTCAATGCAGCATCCTTAGTCTAACGACTCTCTCGTTAGTTTCCAGTTTTCTGATCAAACAAAATTTAGGTGACGAAGGAATATCGAGGAATATCAGCGATTGTGTGTTTCTACCATGTCAATGTAACGCCTCACGGGTCGTCGGGAAAAAATTCATTCGCAAAGAGGGGCACAAAGTCAAGGCCGCTTGCATTCGTCAACGAAAATAGATGTGGAAGCCGTCAAACGGACCGTAAATTTAGATTTGCGTGGCACGAGGTGCTTTAAGCTGTTCCGTGTACGTTGCGTGATAGAAAAAGAATCTCGTGGTGCCGTGGCGCGAAGGAATAAAACATATTATAGCTGTCTGGCAGAAGCAGAGAGGTTCACGTCATAGTTCACCGCTCGTAGAATTCTCTGTTCACGTTTCTCGGTCTGGCACGATTTTCGACAACATATTCGAATCTTTAATAGCCCATCGTTCGTCGAAATGTTTCCTACGCGTCTCAATCACGTTCGTTCAATTTGTCAACCATGTTCCACGACGATAGAACATAACTCTCGGCGACGCAAGATCCAACGCTGCGGGGAATTCGATTACCTTTGAACTTTAAACGGTTCGCGTGGAATTCGTTTCAGACGGCAAGATGGCTAGCCGGCGCGAGAAAAATCGTGTCGAGCACTCTACCAACATAGAATCTGGTACAACCCCGATGTAAAAAAAGATCGAAGACACGGGGTCAATTTGTCAGGTCGATCTTCGAATTCCAACGTGAATGAAATTCTCCAACAGCGACGATTGGTAAACCTCATGCCAGATTCTTCTCATATAGAACCAAACACGATACGAAATTCTTCGTAATCGTAATGAATTGACAATTTTATGCGTTTTTCGAGAGATATAGGGTGCATACAAAAATATACGAAAACATTGAAAATGGAGCACTTGTTGTAATAAATCAATCGAAATATTCACAGGAGTGAGTAAAACTGCTTAAACATCAGTATGATAACGGGTGTCACAGAGCACAAATTATCACCTGCAACGAACTATTATACTTGTCAGTCATCGAACGAATTCATAAAAGAAGAGAAATAGAAATTGTTTGCCAAATTTCAAACCGCTTGACCACTTGATCAATTCCTCGTGTATCATACGTGTTCTCTGTTCCTTTTCCGTACTGGCACTCTTTCAAATTACTCCCCACCGAGGTGTTCGCGGAAAAAAATTATTCGAACAACGTTGCACGACGTGCAGAATTCACGATGCTCACTGCAACCGGTTGGTCGATCCTCGAGAAAATGAGAAGCTGCGGCCACGGTAGCGTGCCGCGTGTTACGGAACACCGAGATGCGAGTTCCTCTGTCGTGCTTTACAGAGGTGTCGTGCCGAACTGACGGCTCCCGTCGGTGGAGGATCGACTTTATACAGCGGTGTCTCGCGCTGCTCTATGAACGCAGCTTTAGAGGCCTCCACCTTTGTCTGTCACCTGACCACGCCGCGCTTCCGATCCTTACGTTTGCCTCCCCTTTCCTACTTTTCCCTTTTCTTTTCTGTCGTTCTTTTCTTCTTTCCTTTTTCGAGTCGTTGGTTTTCTTCTCTTTCTCTCTCTCTCTCTCTCTCTCTCTCTTTGTCCATCGATACGCAACGGGTCGAGACGGCAAAGGAAATCGGCGAATTATTTAAGCGGAATGGAATTTTGAGAGCTTGACTCACGATATGTTTTTTTCTTTTTTAAGCGTGTAATAGCAATTGAGAATGAAGCCTTTTAGCTCGTTACGATCCCTCCGAGGATTTTTTTCGTTTGACTCGCCTATTGACTATTTTTCTTTTCTTTTCCTGCCTTTCTAGATCCCTTTTTTAGATTTAGCGAAGCTCGAGGTTGGAAAATATTATAATGAAACCAATTGGTATGTTTTTTTTTTTTCAGGAGTTTGACGACGCTGCACTCCAAGTAGCATTTCTTGTGAAACAGTCACACTGCAACATATGTATGTACACAGAATATTTCAAATAATCCCATGGGTATAATATATAATACATACTTTTTGATACAAACAGTATTTGTAGTAAGAAAAATTAGCTGATACTTTATGCTCTTTTAACTTCGCGAAGGGCAAATCGTACGAACAAATTTTATAGGATCATTCTATTTAATCTTCAAGACCATGGTTAAATTTAGTTGAAATTTAGCAAAAGCCAGTGTTCATAAAAGTGGCTTGAATTTGCCAAATTTTTGAGAGAGAAAGTATCTTTATTTACTCGTCTCAAAATTACGCAGGAACGTCGGCGAGCTCAGTGTCGTGAAAGTGGACGCTTTAAAACGAGCCCACGTGGACTGTTCTGAGAATAAGTTATGACAATTTAAAATATCGACGATGAAAAATTGTAATTTATAATAATATGGTAAATGTTACGAATAGAATCATCGACAAAGCGTTAATAGAGCCTACGTACTAAAATGAACGTAACAAACGAAGAATAGGAAAAAAGAAAGAATTTTAAATGTAAGCCTGACAGATTAGCTTTAAACAGCTCGTTCCACGGCGACAAAATGCGAAAAGGGAACGAAAAGAAAAGAAAATAGCGTTGCCCTCTTTCGCATACGATACTTTTTCTCGATAATGGATTTTTAACGCTGGGGAGAGCGACCCGACGCAGCTCGCCGGGAGTAAAAGTAGCAGAGAATTAAGTGGTTCTTATAATGGTTGTTTATCGCGAAAGGAGCTTACGCGGACGTATAGTCGGTTTAACAGGCATGTTTGTACCGCTGTGTCGCGACTGCTTTTTTGTAAACTCTCTCCAGACTAGGTGGTTAACCGGGGAGGGTGTTAACTAATTTTAGTCACATAATCCACAACCCACTAAAACGCGTGCATCGTTGAAACCAAATACCGAAAGATCCTGCCACATTGACATCGTCGATTCCCCAACATCGAACCTTGGTTCCCCATCGAAATGGGTTTTGCGTGCTCCGCGGAATACGCTTAAGTAATTACTCGAGGATCGAGTGTGAATGTAATCTTGGAAAGAACACTGCTCGAGGACGATTTTGTTTAAAGTTTAAATCGAAAGATTTCTAAGTTAACTTGTGTGTTCATTCATTTCTAAACAAACATCCTACGTTTATTAAACATCCTGCGATTATTTGAAGTGAAAATAATAATTCGCGAGGTTTTATTTCTTCTCTGGCGAGTCTGTCAAATAAATTTATACTCCTCGTTGTATAAGTAAACAGATTTTTCCTTACGTGAAATATACTGTTGAAACTTTACCAAATGTTGAAACCTAACCCAAATATTTACGAAACCCGCTGATACTAGTTACTTGATTACAAATAGCATCCGTGTTAAATTTTCTCCAACTTTTCCATTCTGTGACTGCATATCAACCATTCCCTTTGCCCAAATTTATTTCGAAAATATTCGTCTTCCCTTTTCAAATTCTTGCAGATAGAACAAATATCGTTTCGAGTTTAATACACGTCTACTGCCTTCGTTTCACTGGCGTTGAAAATCGATCCTACAAATATCGGTCAGTAATATCGAAAACCGATGTCACCGGGTTCTAGCAGTTCTAATGCCGGACTCGAGCGAAACGGAGAAGCGACGATTCGATGCAACGTGGTTTGTTCCCTCCCGTTTCCCCGGAGGAAAAAGGGAGCATACCGAGCAACTGGTCGTAAGAAAAGATCGCGATGATACGATACATGAATATAACGCGTAATCGTAGTTATGCACGCGCCCTGAATAACGTTAAACATTTATATCATCGACTATTTTGGATCGGTATCATCCCGCGGACCAATGTTTCGCGATCGATTTCATAGCTTGTCCCTTCTTCGGAGAAAAAATATAGCAACTTTCTATTTTTTTTCGTTTATTTTTTGGTGAAAATCCTCTCGAGAGATTATTATTTTATTTCCACATCGTGCCCGAATGTGAGAATTTATATACTCGTTGGAAATGGAATTACAACAAAATTATCATGTAAATTTTATGAATATATCTGTGTTTCTTGCTTCTGAAACATTTACAAATATGGATACATCCTCGCTTAGAGCACTCTAGTTTGAGAAACACGATTGTATTTTAAATACGACTAATCGTAACGTTTCAAGATGTTAATATCATAAATGAAGTATTTATATTTATTCAAGGATAATCATCATTTCCTTTCGAAATCCCTCTACGATCGTCGTAATCAAAAAACACATTGTTACAAAAATTTTGTCGCAACGTTGTTTCTGCAATTATTATCGCATCAAGAATTGTCTTAGAAATCAGGAGTATAAATATATCAGCAATGAAATAGGACGATTATTTGCCCTCGATATAAAAATCATCGACCTCCTAGTACATTTTATCACGTTTCATAACGAATGTCTCCATCGTAGACAACATTTGCCACGCGAACGATAGTTTCCACGGGTACAGCGTCGCGTATCGTAACACGATATTAATCCGACATACGATATTAATATTTCACACTACTTAAACTCACGTACGCGCATTAAAATCGCGTCTCCATGCGCCTAATACGCGCGGTAATAGCGGCGTTCAGAATTGGCTTTCGCATCGCGAATCCTCCGTTGCGTAATCTTCGCGAAAATTTACGGATCGCAGTACGAGAACGAGCGTATACACTTTGCAGATTGATGCAACAATGTTTGCTGGTATCCAGCGAGCAAAGTATCCAGACCTCCAGGGCTCTGTTTCTCCCGGATAATTTATTATCTAATCGAGCCGGCTATACTGAAATATATCATCACGAGTGTTTTGTACCATGTTTCGAGTGGCCACCGTCGATGTGTTATCCCCGCCGCGATGTTTCATCGTCAACGTTTCTCAGCAGTTACTACCGAAATTGGTCACTCTGTAAAATCCATAAAAATCTGTTACTTCGTAAATCTGTCACGGTTACAAATAAAAATTACTAGAAACAGACGCGATAAAGATATTGTGGATTCTCTGATTTTGATATTATTTAGAAGAGTAAACAGTATTTTGGAAATGAAAACGACTTGTTAGCTCTGACGATTTTTAGATCTATCTCAGATAAAAATTAAACGTTTCCAGTTAAAAAGTACAAGGAATTTTTTTACGTAAGTAATTGTTAGAAGTAATTTACAAATTGAATTTTTATAAAAAGAAGAACCAAATACGGAATTATTAAACAAACTTTTAACTTTTGTAAGAACTAAACAGAAATTACAAGAGAGATTAAAAGACATTTGATCACTTAACCTAACCTATTTGCTTTCAAATCAATTCCAATTCGATTCAATTCATTATTAATACGAATCAACGCGAACGTGTCAATTTGTAAAAAAAAAAAAAAAAAAAAGATATGTCATATTTTTCGCGATCCTGTCCTCTGTATTCATTCGACGTGAAACGATCAATAATCACAGATCGATATCGCTGACGTTGGCCCAATTACTCTCTAATTCGCAACGAAATTAAGATCCATGGATCAATGGGCCTGTTTATTACATACCTGGTAGCGGTTCTCGGCTGAGCAACTGACAATCAGGTAGCCGATCGATCAAACTCGAGCTCTAATTCGATAAAATTCGATGCAACGGTATCCATGGATCTCTCGCTGTGTCCTGTGTTCGTGGACGACGGACGATCAGCTCACGCGTCGTTAGAATTGCGTTGGAGTATCGGTAATTAGCGATTTCTCAGTGGTGCCGATCTAATTTTCCGGCGAGTAAATTATCGAGTGGTGCGTAGATAGAATTAGCCGAGTCGGTCTGGCTGATATCGCTAAATTGCTGCATTCCTACGAGACGTACCGAGTGCATCTCCCTCGTTATATCATCATCGTTCATCAGCCTCTGGTCTACGCGCGTCGTATATAAATATATCGCGTTTGGATCATCCTCTTGATCGCTAGGCGAATCGTTAACTTGGCGCGTGAACATCTGAACGAATTTTTGGTTAAATTGTTGGTAATTCGTTGAGGATTTATCTCGCAAATATGCTTAAATATATGGATCAGTATGTAAATAAAAGTCGTGTAATATTGAGATGTGAAATGATTTCTTTTATTCTAGTATTATTAAAATTTAGTCGTTGTGCCTGTTCAAAGTTTTAAAGATATATCGTTTCGTTATAATACCATGCATTTGTTGTAATAATTACAGTAATACGGAACTTCCATCAAATTTTATAGGAAAATTGGATTTTCAAGTCGGGCAGGTTGTTTTTATTTTAAATTACGTATTAAAGTACAAACCCGAAAAAATGTTGTGACTTTTCAATCACAAAATACAGGATAGAATATAAATGCATAAAATATGTATAATATTGGAATATTATATTGATACAATCGACCAAGATATAATACTTTAGTTTAAATTCTGTGTCTCCACTTAAAGTTGTCAAAAATTCATTGTAATCTAGCAATAGATTGAAAGACGATATTTCCTACGTTCTACGTGAAGTATTTTCGAGAGATAATTTGTTACACTTCGAGTAAGTTTCAGAATCCTATGTGTGTTGCAACGTGTACAATACATTAACGTGTTTCTTCGCCTACGAACGAATACAAAGTAAAGAGCATGAAAATATAGAGCGCTAAGTATGACGAGCAACAGAAAAAGAAAATAGCAAGAAACAGCGAAAAGACAGGCAATAATACCCAGGATAACGAAGCAAAACGACGTATAGGTGTTATGAATGATGATCAGAAACAAATTTAGCTGGTTGAAGCTCGATGAGAGGCTAGCAAAAAACGAATCTTCCCTCGTGAGAAAATTAAAGCAACGCTTGATGCAATAACGAGATTAAAATCGAGATTAAAATTCGCCTTGATGACATACGCGATTAATGCTGTTCATGAAACAAATGGTGTGAAAAGAATGACGTGTTTCTGGAAGAAATGTTTCAAATATCCAACACGATATATACATATATAATATATATATAAGCGTCTCCAATATTAAGTGCGTAACGTAATAACTATCCTCGTCAAAGGTACATGAAATAAGTGTAGATATTATTTATGAAAATCACAGACATTTCCCTCGGATTAATTCCACAACTTTCGAAAGATGGAATGAGACGTGTTATTACGCGTAATTCATATTATGTGTTCTGCGCATTTTCTACGCTATATTATAGTCCGAATTGATTGCGCTTAGGAAACGGTGCATAATATTCATGAAAAATAACGATCCGCTTATGTAAGTATTTTCCCCGTTGAGACGGAACATTGACACACACGCATCGTCTAATTAGTCTTTTAATTCTGGTTTGTTCATTGGAACAGTTTAATGACTATGTTAAAAGAAGCTGTTGAATAATACAACTTCATGGGAATCGAAATGTGCACTTTATGACTGGGAATTTGCAACTTATTCGATAATTACAAGGAAGAGTTTGAAAAATTGCTGTACTTGGAGAATGTATGAAACGTTATATTATAGGGAAGTTTTTGTAAGATTGAATATCTTTATATATCTTGAGCAAAGTTCCAAATAGTCGTAACATTTAATAATTGTCCTCAAACAAAATTGCAAACTAAAATTATATAAATTTAATTCCATTAATTCTCCAACGATATTTCTAACCAAGTATACTTCTCCCTACTCGAAAATAATTATAAAATCGGATTAAAACGATCACGGTGTAGTAAACGTTATATTAGGGAACTAACAAGTTTTTGTAAGATTGTATATCTTTATACATCTTGAGCAAAGTTCCAAAAAGTCGTAACATTTAATAATTGTCCTCAAACAAAATTGCAAACTAAAATTATATAAATTTAATTCCATTAATTCTCCAACGATATTTCTAACCAAGTATACTTCTCCCTACTCGAAAATAATTATAAAATCGGATTAAAACGATCACGGTGTAGTAAACCTAGCAGCTACCTGCTTTTTCATCATCTCGAAAGTGTCGTTGACACGATGACACGATCCATTGGGATCATTAACGTTGCGTCATAATTGTTCCATTGAAGCGAGAAGCGATCGATTGATTTACACGTTGAGTAACGAACTAAACAGAAATGAAGCTGTGTTCCACGTCGGCGACGAAATATTATTCCCATCCTATCGCGTTTAAATGTCGAATCATCATTCGACGGGGAATTCGTAATAATTTAAACGCGTCAATGTTGCATTAAAGGACTCGAGAAATCTCTCATACTATGAATCTTTGTATTGCACAAAGAACAAATATGCTTGTTTTGATCGTCGAATCGTGGCGTTAAATTCGCGAAAATATTAGCAGACGATCCTCCTTTCGCTAAACATCCAATTAATGATCGTCTTCGCTTTAACATTAAATCAACAGACATAACTGCTGAAAGTCGAAAGTTATATATAGTCATAATTAACATTTTAAACGCATCGTCCGCGTTTCATCCAGAAATTCTTCGAGTTTGCGCGCCGGTGGCTACTCACCGATCGCTCGTTGCCATACCGCGGTGCAATTTATTAAGTTGTAAATTAATCGAGTGACGGAGGTTCCGTTAATAGAATAACCTGCCATTATGTTTCACAAATAACACGATTCTCCCCGATACTTTCATTACGAAAATTAAATTTTTCCTCGGTTATTCTGTCTCCTATAATCCATCATCATTTACTCATTACTAACGGCCAGACTTCCATGCAAATTTTTCTGTAATTTATGCAAACTAGGAGAACAGAACGTGGACTGAAATTTATCTTGCTCGTTAAATATTGGTATTCGATGGTTTCTCAATGTTTTTGTATATTGACGATTTTGCACGCTTTCGTATCTCTAAATTTCTCGTGAACCTGCTCTCGTAATAATTACAAAGAGTGAGGAATTTTTTTTGCCTGAGTCCTAAATTCTTTAGTTCAAATACAATTCGTGAAAAATGAATAAGCATGAATGATAGTATCTTTCCACTTTTTATAAACTTAGTCGTTCACCGAAAAGAAATAACCTACGCACCATCAACAAGCGCGGAATAAAACCTTACCTCGAGGGGTAAAAATCGATATCCCGGATATGTGTCGAAGTCAGAGAATTTTTTTCTCTTTTCGAGTTTGATATTACCAGTCCAAGTTTCTACGATAAATCCGGTGGATGAGCATTAACTGTAACCGCGTACGTATCATTCAAAAGACCAGATTGCAGTAATTGCCGGCAATTTACCTTGCGAATCGCATAAATAGTTTCTTTGTGCCGGTGAACCGTGCAACTTTTATCTGCGTAACCGCGCTTAGAAGTAATCTTAGACGTGGACGCAGCATCGCGGTTGCTCCAATTTTTCCAAGATTCGCTGACTGTTATTTATTAACGCGCGGAAATGAACGAGCAATTCATACGCGTTAATAACATCGCCGGGCATAATTCATCGCTAAAATCCGCTCTACCGAACGGCTCAATCGCTCTTACCAGCGGTTTAATATTAGGCGATGACCTAAACATCTAAGGTATTTTCAATGCGACACGATCGAAGGCTACGTATGTATGTATGTACGTGGAACGACGTTCGAAGCTTTCGTGCAACGAAATTTTACGAGCTTCGGTGTCATGATTGCGGTATTGAGGGTTATTAGAAAAAATAGAAATAGTTTTAAAAAAGCTTTAGATAACAATTCAAGTGTTCAAAGCATTTTAAAGTTAATTTCGTGAATTTTCCACGCTTGGAACAGTGCTAAATAAATAATGGTGAATTAGGATTATTATAAGAATTTTTTGAGATTCGACACGTCACGAAAATTATTTCAAAAAGAGCATAGTTAAGGAAGTTTCTCATTGATGTAATTGTAAAGTGATAAGTGAAACGATAATCATTCTTCTTATATTTAGAGTTAGAAAAATGCGTAAATGTTGTCTTAGATCGTAGTAAATACTGATATCGACAACGTTATGGTTTTAGGTAAATATTAATTAAATTATTACTTATTAAATTATTTTCAGTATTTCATACAAAATGTTGTTATAGTTAATAAAGTAGAACCTATTTTAAGCAACTAAACCATTTTACTATCTAGTCAATTCAATTATGGTTTAGATTTTTTTTTTAATTTTAATACTGTTTTGAAGTAATGAATGTTCAGAGTTCTGTAGTAAATTGATAATCTAAATATTTCAGCGATTGGTTTATAGCGTGAGAACAGTTTTACTATGTAACCATTAGTTGAATATTAAAAAATTTCATATAATACTAACAATAAGTGTCTCGGAAATATTCTCCACAAAAATCATAATAATCAAAATGCATCAAAATTCAATTTGCTATGCTTTCAGACTCACGAAACAAATCATTTCTTAATTTTTCATTCCAAGAACTTTGAACCTACAATAATCAGCGAATCATTATCAAATTTCACAAAGTCTCATCAAGATTTAACAATCTATAATTTGAAAATGAAAACACTTAGTTGTTACCGAATCTGTTGCGAGTATCAATCTTCAAATTCATCCTTTATCAAGTCAAACTATCATAAAATTGAATTTAGTTGTTCGTAAAAATAACAAGCCAGTATTAAAATTGAATCGCTTCGAGAATATTCTCAACTATTTCAAGCCACAAATATCCGAGCCATTTATTTTCGAAATCGACCGATATTTCTCCTCGATTTAGTACCGATTACCCGAGCGGGCAATTCTTTTCAAGCCTGTCGCGATTCGATTTTTCTGCAAAAGCAGCGTTCACGCGGAAAAATCGGGACAGGCGGTTGCCTTTTTTCGCCGAAGAGGAAGGAATTCGCCGGTAACCTGTGCCCAGCACCACGGGTTGCGGTCACGTGGCCGATCTTTGCAGAAACGGTGGCTCGATCGATCGCACGAAAATTCCTGGAGGCGCTTTCACGAACATTTTATCAGCGAACACACGAATACTCCTGGCCTGGAGTGTCGGGCGTGTGCCACTTTTGTGACGTCGATGCCGAGAGCGCCATTTAGCGTCATTAATAGAGTTGCATCAGCGTCGAGTGCACGGTGATACATCGATAGGAGTGGTTCGGCAAATAGATCGGGGCTGAAGATATATGCGTGTGTACGCAAGGGAGAGAGAAAGGAACACACCCATCCAAGCTTCGACCAAGTTTCTGCACAATCGAGCTCTGCCTACAGGGTGATCCACGCGAATATTTTCCAGTACTTTAATCGCGTGATTTCTAACTGCTGTAGGCCATGAATTTTCTCAGCAAATAACGCTTGAAGCGCAACGATTTCTCACGAAATTGCAACATGACTATCTGAAACTTGTACTTTTTGTAAAGGAATATTTGAGGAGTGAGAAATTCGAATAAAAAGACTATTACGAAGATAAATTGTTATTATTTATGAACGAGGATGATTTATCATTACTTTACCACGAGTATAAAACTTTTAGTTTGGAAATTTGTAATTTTTTTCGTCGTGACGCATTGTCACACTCTGGCATTTCACAGCGGTGAATGAATATATGTTAACTCGCGTACGTAAAGATAGATGTAAGTTGCGTTTTTTAAACATCAGAGACAAATTAGCTTGGAAAATAGATAATATCTATTCGTGGACTTCATTCTTGTCCGAGGCATTTGATGTAGTATCGTTTTTCGCTTGTCATTCATTAATCGACGCTTGTTATCTGAACGAGCACACTTTCGTAGTGAAATTCGTCGTACGCTCAGCGCAATTATGAATCGAATTTCGCAAGTCGAAGCATTATGTTCAATGGACTATGAAAAAAATATAACATGCATTGCTCTTTAAATTGTACATAAATTATACGCTTGACAAATTATTACACACCGCCGCTCGTGTGTGCTGTAAGGATTTCAAACGAATCAAAGACCAGATCTCTTAAAAATCCCTATACATCAAAGCTTTTCACGTTCTAAAAATTCTGAATTAATTAATTAGTGCACCGATCTAGAATTTTTTTCGATCTCTGGATTGATCGGTGCGCCGCCGTATTCTAGTTTCTAGGCTCGAGGATCTCAAGAGTAAATCTACAGATTTTTCTCCTCAATTGAACTTGAACAATAAAACAACCAGTTTCGTATCGTTGCGTTAAGTCTTATTATGTAAACGAATTTTTCTCAAATTTAAATCTATCGCTTTAAGAACTTCTCAATTTCTAATATTAAATCTTACAATATTTGAAGAACTTACATTAAAATAACACAATTCAAAATTCGAAATTTATTCAGTATTTTAGTACCATTTTAGTATTTCCATTAAATTTCCATCTAATTCACTCCAAAAGATTAAATTTACTACTTTTTATACATTTCGAAACTTGCCCCAGTCCCCAGGAATCATGTTAATATCATTAGCCAATCGGTCAATTGCTACACGAATAAATTGAAGACATCGCGAAAGGAAAGCGGCAGAGTGAGAAAATCGCGGATCGGATCGATGCATAAATCGACGCATAAATAACCGAGAGCACGAGACAGATAGCGAGAGAGGGAGAGAAGGAATGAGCCAGTAAATAAAAACGAAAGCACGCGGTGAAAGCAAACTCATAGGACCATGTAAAATACACGACTGATAATTACAGCGTCGAGTTGTTTAATAAGAGAAAAATTAGATATCGTGCGGTATCGAGAGAGAGAGAGAGAGAGAGAGAGAGAGAGAGAAGTATAAAAACAGAGTTCGTGCGCACGTGTTGAGTAATTTTCTTGAGTAATTTAGCTTAGACGAACGAGCCGCGATTGTTTGTTTATTAACAGCTTGTTACCAGCGTTTCACTGTGTTAGTCTAATAATACGCCTGAGCGCTGCACATAAGAAGAAACGAGACAATTGTTTCTTCATCGCGGTAGGTGACTGCATCATTGATGTGCCATGTTTGTTAGGTAGCTGCTACTAATGCAATGCATAATTGGTATTGTCGATGACGATGGAACGTCATGAAGGAGAATGAAGGAAAAAGAAGAGGAGGAAGAATTTGCTCTGTAATAAAGAATTTGATGAGGAAGACAGAAAATTGATAAGATAATCAATTTTGTAGTGATGAATCTATTATAAAAATTAACACGAACACAAATATTATGAATTGAGAACACATCAGAGAAGAAATCAAAAGAAAGAAGTTAAAATGTATTTTTGAATTAACTGATTGATACGAAGTAATGAAAATTTTTAGAAAGAAAAAAAATAGGAAAGACTATTTCAAAACTAGAAAAGCATTAAATTCTAGGTTGGTGAATGTATTAAGTGTATACTTACCAGCGAGTTTGATTTAAAGGCAATCTTAAACATAGCTTTGTTACAAAATTAGGCAACCCACTTGGTATATAGTTATATGTATATCGAGTTATGTACGATCCTGCTACCTGTTCCCAGTTGATCGATGCGAACGTCAGACATTTTTATCTGGCTATTATTCATTCGGGACATTGAAATTTAGATACGTGACCGATAAAGGATCGATCCTTGAATCTCGAGTGGCGCCAGCTTCTGTATTACGTTTTCTACTTTCAACCTCCACTCGTGACAACTATTTGTCTTCATTTGTTGTCATGCTGGTCATTGATCGTGGCAGAATAAGGTCTCCTTAGTATAAATTCCACCAACTCGATGGCACAAAAGGCGCTCTAAATGGAACGTTGATTAATACGATTAGATATTGCAGATCCGAGGAAATCGGTATTCGTGAAAGATAAAAGAAAAAGAAAAAGCTCCGCTGTCAAATTTTGCAATCCAAAGATAATCTAGATGAAAAATTAATGGATTTGGTTAAAATAACTCGGAAGCTTAATTAGTCAACTTTGTTCTTTTCTTTCTTTCTTTTTTTGTAAATTATACAATTAGTATTCAAACTCAAAAAAAAAAAAATTATTTCAACAAATCACTTGTAAGAAGATGACACAAAGGAACCATAAGTTCCGAAGTAAATGTGAGGAAATAAAATTCGTATCATTTCGTTTCTGAACGATCCAGGAAGCAGGTGATAGAATACAAGTTAATTACAATGATCTCCGCTTCTTAACGTTCCTCGACTTCGTAGTTTGAAGATTTGAAACAAATTTCACGATAAAAGCCCATCGTCGATAAAATGAATTGTAAATTCAGGCAGCAATTTGAAATTAAACAGCGTATGTGAAACTACGACGGAGTACAAGATAATTGTAACGATCTCGATTTCTTGAGAACAAACTCTTCGACGTTGTTCGATTTAATTTACACACCGGTCGTGATTTCTTCATTCGTCAAGGCTGTATGGTTAACGAAAGTTATTTCTATCGTAATGAAACGGCCGGGAGAGTGGCCGATGCTCGTCCAGAGAAATTATAGGCGCCGATAATTTCACCGGGAACAACCGATAAAAGTTAATGCGACGCGGTGTCTTCCTCGCTTCGAGATCCTTTGAACGCGGCTGGGCAACCTGTTCTGGAATCATTAGATTCAATCTGGACAGACGGTGATTCCCAGCAGGGAAACGGAGGATATCGATTCCCGATGGAAACTTAAGCACGTTCTACCTACCCGTGGTTTCACATTCAACGCATTCCCCGATATTCGATAATTAGAACGCGGGATCAATTACGGCGAAATGGCTTTCTACACCGATGGAATGTCTATTCTTTCGGAATATGGTGTCAATTAATC